TAGTTGTGATGGATGAATGTATTATATTATAGGGAAATTGACAAAAATAACAAAAAAAAAAAATATTATAATCTAAGTTGGTTGATTTGCACCGAACTTGGAACATAAGAGACGGCATACACGAAAACCTCTCTGTTTCTTGTTTGTTGCCCAAGATCCACTTTTCTGAAGTAATCATTTTGTCCAATGATGTAAGCTGTGTAGCGTTCAGTTCTATAATCTTCATCAAAAACAACCACGACTCTCTTCTCCTCGTCAATGAGAAAACTCCCCCTACAACAGAACATATCCCCAGTGAGTGGATCCATATCCACCGCTAAGAACTTGCTCCAGGATTGCGCATTGGGCTCTATCTTGGTCGTAACCCAAATCTCCATCTCATATGTATCCATGTTCTGAAATAGCACCGTAAGCTACTCTTGTCTAACACTAGATAGAATCACGGTATCTTCACAATAAGACTGAAACGGCAGAGGGAGACGCAGAGCAAATCTCTCTGTTGTAAAATCAAAACAGATCAAGAAACCAGGTACGTCTCCTCCAGCTAACTTATCTTGAGCATACCAGTACGCATTTCCCTTCAAATACAGGCCATAGTGCATCCAATTTGTTTTCCATTGTGGAGTGACATCAAGAACCCTCCATGAGTTAGAACATATATTCCGGATGGAGGGTGGGCATATCTCAAGATTTTATAGGCCGATTTGCTCTTGTCGTATCCGAGGGCATGGCCATACCAGATCCCACTGTAGATAGCTCTGAGTTTAATATGATTCATGTGTTCGATGCAAATCCACCGAGCTTGCCCTGTGTAAGGATTCCAAACCACGAGCCTAGTGTAGTCTAACGTGGTGCATAACAATAAACCATCGCAGTGACATAATCGAGACATATCGAGCTGATATGAATCGTCAAGGCTAAGAGGTTTACCTGCATGCCTTATAGATGGATCAGAGTCGTTGTGGAGATTGACGCTCATCAAATTAAGACTACAATCTATCAATACGATCGTCAAAAGCTCCGCTTCACTTGCCGCTGCTTGTTGAGCAAGGTGCTTCTTTGTAAAGCTCCTCTTTGGATAAAGTGTTCCACTTCTTACAAGTAGACCGGACTCTTCTCAGTGATGTCAATGGAACCCTAGAGAGAATCTCCTCTACCAAATCTTGTGGAAGATTGTTCATCATCTTCAAACGATGTAACGCAAATAAGTTAGGTTTATAGCTTTCGAAAGTCTCCTCTGTTTCAGATTTTCTGCCGCCCGTGATAAGAAGATAGAAGACACTCATTCCCTGGCTTCTAATTATAAGGTCAACTTTGCTCCAAGTACGAATCCCTAATTTGTTTTCAGTAAATAGATCTCTGGACTGGTGTGCCTCCAATAAGAAACAACATTATCAGCATTCCTGAATTGGCTAAATCAATCTTTATCTACAAACCTTGTAAATTAAATATAAAAATAAAATAAAAAACTGTTGGGGAGGGAAAGTCTGATAACAATAATCTCAAACGAACCATTTAACAATAAAACACTAGAATTAATGGAAGACACTAATGCTTCACCTTTCACCTACTATGAATAAGTAAGACAATATATAACCTACAAATCGCAGAGCTCTCCTCTCAAAGTGTATAATAATAACTTAGGAGGCTGCATAGTGCGGAGCTTGGTGAATTGGACCTCACCTCGGCTGTTGATCTGACCCGGGTGCTGAGGAGACGCTCGGTCCTGTGCCGTTCTCTGGTGGCGGGGACGTTGCCCACTTCCCTTCCGGTCCTGGTGGCTCGATCACGTGGACCCCACCATCGGTTAGTCCAACTGCAAATTGGCTCGGTTCAGAAGGATGGGCTGCGATCGTGGCTGGATATACTCTCGAGCTGATTCAAAAAGGAACGAGATGTTGTTACTAATATTGTTGTGTTGGTGATTACTCTGCAGAAGTTGAACTAGAGAAGAGGATTCTTACCTCGGGTTTGAAGGCAAATATGAACTGGGACCAATGCGGCACTTCAGTTGCAATGTTGTTGCCGTCAAGATACTCACACTTCCATCATCAAAGGCTGCATAGATTGACTGGCTATCGCATGAGTATACAGCATCTGTCACAGAACCACTTGACTCCTTCGGTATCCACTGAAATAAGAGAAGACTCGATCAAGTTCTGAAGGACTCTGAGCAAATATCTAACGCAGCACTCTAGAGACATGGATGAAATGATGTAGCGACAAACCTGCTTCATGCTCTCTAACTTAGGAGCTTCGTATATGGCTAACTGGCTGGCATGAACAACAAGAACATGTGTTTGATCTTGATGGAACTGAACGCGTGTATGAGCAAGTGGGTTTGGCGAATGCCCACTCGGAATTTGTATCTGTTTGCTAGCTTGCTTTTCCCATCCATCCATGCTCCATACACAAAGCTATACAGATAAAACCAATTACTTTGGAAAACAGATAACACGCAGATGAAAGCAGAGGCAAGATCTTTTATCTGAACAATTAGGGTGGGAAATAAAAACACAGCCGATGCAAGCATACCTGAGAATCAGCACCAGAGGAAACAAGAACATTTAGGACGTTTGAGAATGCTAAACCAGTCACTCTCTTCTGATGACCTTTCAATTTACTTTTCACCTGCATGCATCATTCCCATCCAAGAGTTGTTTTGAATATTTGTTTCTATGAAAAACGAAAAAAGTATTTTTCACACTTTCAGTTGAGTTGGAATACCTCATCTACTCTGACATTGTAGATTTGAATAGACGAGTCATCCATTCCGATAGCAATAATGTTATTGTCTTGAGGATGGAAGGCGAGGGAAGTTGCAGCTGGAGGAGGTGCCATGAATGTCGTCATTGTCTGCAAAAGAAACAAAGAAATATAAGTGAGTAAATGTAAAGCCTGTAGCCAAGCAAATGAATAGACATAGCTCGGACATGGAAGGACCTTAAAAGTCATCATGTTGAACAAGGAAATTTTTCCTCCTGAGGCTGACATGACATATGAATCATTCTTAGAGAGCGCAAAGCATGGAACAACATCTTCTTTGTTTCCCTCGCGTGTATCATTTGTCATTATTACTCCACTAGATGGCTGCCAAAGCTGTGGTGGGACATTGCTGTTTGCCTAAACAAGCAAAGACAATAAAAGAAGCTATAATAAGTTTCAAATCACCCCTAGCTGTTGTATTACAACGGATATGATATACCTTTCCCAAAAGATTCCGCTCATTCTTTTGCCATTTCCATAGTTTATGTAGAGCATTTTCTGCTAATGCCAATATAGCACCTCCAGAATTCGTATATATTAACTTAACAACCTGCATCGAGAAACAAGATGACATCATGCCAAAGATAAAAAAGAGAGAAAGCATAAAAAAAATACTCCATGAATAAACTTTTATGCAAAGGAAAATAAATATTATTAGATATCCAACACAATCTAAGATGCTTTACTTTAAGATCATTTAAACTACCAGTTATGAAAATCTTCTACTTAATCACTGGACTATAAAAATATAATAAAAAGGAAGTGTTATAAAGCTCTTATGGGTGGAATGGAATTGGCCTACAATTCTTATCAGGAAAAGTGTGCAACACATTCTAGTTTGAAAAATAATGGCAACGCATATGAAATAGATTGGGTACATACTCTTGCTGGTAGCAGACTGTCGGGAAGCCGCAGAGTACGAAGCTGAGAACGTTCGCTGATCTCTGTCAGCTTCCAAATCTTTGATTTCTCTGCGTCATCAGGGATTCGTGGTTTGACATCTGGCATATTGCGATTGTCTCCATTCTAAAACCAAAAATATTGTGAATAAACTTAGCAGGGATTCAGGAAAATGCCATTGTTTGCCTTTGAGACGTTTGCATGAACTTAACAGTTACACTTTAATCTCTGTTAACATACATTCTAAATGGTCAACTATCTTCAGTGAGTTAATATGTAGATATTTAACCGAACAAAATATCTCTAAACAGTTCACAGGTGGGATTACCAATCCAGTAACGGATGCAACTGGTCCACTTCTTTCACCCATTGATAGACTCATTCCAGTGCTTGAATTTGGAGTGCCAAATGTGCCAGCAATAGGACCCTAAGAACAAAATCATCCATTCAAAACCAAATTTCTGCATATAGCACCCAGATAGAGCAGAATAAGTAAAAATACGATGATAAGTGTTTACCTTTGTGACTGACCCAGGAGGAGCTCTAGAGCTTTCAAGCCCACGGTTTGCCATGGAGTGCATAATTCTGGAACCTTCAGCATTCGCTAGTATCTTGATTCCATTCTCAGTAGTTGAGACAGCCAGCAGAGTTCCTTCTTTGTTGATCCTTAAGCAAGGGGAAGACTGATAATATTAAGTTAGCAACCGTTTCTTTTAAAGGCCAATTAGACCAACAGCAATTGAGATCAGAATAGACCGTTACCGGCAATCCCCCATCTGCAGCCGTTGAAGTCAATAATTCAACACTATCCATATCCCAAAATTTGATTTGGAACTCATCACCAGCTACCAAAAATTTATTCTTCATGGTATCAAACTGCACCACCCCCACAGACCGTTTCCCCAGTCCAAGGTAAGTCCGCTTCACAGCTCCCTCACTTTCATTCCATTCAACAATAAATGATTCCCCTTCCTTACTAGTACCACAAGAGAATAATCTACAACAAACAAAA